GTGTGTGTGTGTGTGTGTGTGTGTGTGTGTGTGTGTGTGTGTGTGTGTGTGCGCGCACGCGTGTGCGTGTGTATTTGTGTGTGTTTACATGTCTATAAGAGTGAGACTGAGAGCAAGTGAGTACATATATGCGTGTGTACCGCCTATGTATTCCAGTGTTTGTTTGTGTGTGCTTATGTGAGTATGTGTGTAAGTTTGTGTGTGTTTATAGGTATGTGCCTCTGAGTCTGGGTATGTGTGAGTATGTCTTTGTCAATCTTTGAAATTACATAAGTGTGTGCATGTGAGTTTGCGTTTGTTAGTTTGAGTGTCTATGAGTGCATATGTATGTGTGTACGTGATTAATGTTTGTGTCCTCTGATCTAAAAAGGATCACAGCATTACACCACTGATATGCAAAGATCAAGAAGCAAAGCCATACACATGAGAAAATTCAAAAGCATACTACGAAATGGGTTTATCGCTTTGAAAACAATCACACTACTTCAACGTAACACTTGATCACAAAAACAAAACTCAGTTTTACAGGATGATTGAAAAATAATATTGCATAACCAAAGCTGAGCTTTTTTCCATCTACAAGAAATAAGCTTGACCTTCAAAAATATTTTCGATTGAGTAAAGAAAAGAACATTGACACAATATAGTGCATGGAAGATGCAAGACAGATAGACAAAAATTATAGTGTTAAAGAAAAGAAGTAGGACCTACCAGTAGCACCCTCAAACAACCCGCCATAAATAAACTTTACCTTGGTAGCAAGGTACACTAACAGGAGCGCTTTCATCAGTGAAACATGAGGCACCCTCTACCCACCACCATAAATATTCTTTACCTAAGAAGCAATGTAGACCAATACCAGCGCTTCGTTTGACCAATGAAATAATAGGCACCCTCTGACCACCCACCGAACTTTACCTTTGTAGCAATGTAGACTAACAGCAGCACTTTGATCAATAAAACAACAGCCACCCTCCAAGGTAACAATACGCACCCTCCAACCACCCACCAAGGTAACAATAGGCACCCTCCAACCACCCACCAAGGTAACAATAGGCACCCTCCAACCACCCACCAAGGTAACAATAGGCACCCTCCAACCACCCATCAAGGTAACAATACGAACCCTCCAACCACCCGCCATAATCTTTACCTTTGTAGCAATGTAGACTAAAAGCATGGCTTTGATCAACGACACAAAGGCAAGACACAGTTCTGTGATCCAAATAGGCAGACTCCGGTGTACCCACAGCAGGACGTACCTGGCTCATGGAGATATAGAGGGTGATTACAGCAGAGTAAAAAATAATAACGTTGCTGCCTTCTAAAGGGAGAAAGGAAGAGGGGAAGACTGTGCATGTGTGTGTGTGTTTGTGAGTGTGTTTGTGTGTGTGTGTGTGTGTGTG